TTTGGGATCATCCTAGAGGAGCTTTGGGACCATCCAGGACCTTTGGGATCATCTTTGGGATCATCCTGGAGCAGCTTTGGGATCATCCAGGACCTTTGGGATCATCCTGGAACCCCTGGATCAACTTTGGGATCATCCTAGAGGAGCTTTGGGATCATCCAGGACCCTTTGGATCATCTCTGGGATCATCCCAGAGGAGCTTTGGGATCATCCTGGAACCCTTGGATCACCTTTGGGATCACCCTGGAGCAGCTTTGGGATCATCCAGGGCCTTTGGGATCATCCAGGACCTTTGGGATCATCCAGGACCCCTTAGGTCATCTTTGGGATCATCCTGAAACCCTTGGATCACCTTTGGGATCATCCAGGACCTTTGGGATCATCCTGGAGGAGCTTTGGGACCATCCAGGACCTTTGGGATCATCCAGGATCTCTTGGATCAACTTTGGGATCATCCAGGACCTTTGGGATTGTCCTGGAGCAGCTTTGGGATCATCCAGGACCTCTGGGATCATCCAAGACCTTTGGGATCACCTTTGGGATAATCCTGGAGCCCTTGGATCATCTTTGGGATCATCCTAGAGCAGCTTTGGGACCATCCAGGACCTTTGGGATCATCCAGGACCCCTTGGATCAACTTTTGGATCATCCTGGAGGCCTTGGATCATCTTTGGGATCATCCTAGAGGAGCTTTGGGATCATCCAGGGCCTTTGGGATCATCCAGGACCTTTGGGATCATCCTGGACCCCCTGGATCACCTTTGGGATCATCCTAGAGGAGCTTTGGGATCATCCAGGACCTTTGGGATCATCTTTGGGATCATCCTAGAGCAGCTTTGGGATCATCCAGGGCCTTTGGGATCATCCAGGACCCCTTAGGTCATCTTTGGGATCATCCTGGAGCCCTTGGATCATCCTTGGGATCATCCAGGACCTTTGGGATCATCCTGGAGGAGCTTTGGGCTCATCCCAACCCCACCCCTGAATTCCCAGAGGATCCCAAATCCTGGATCCCCAAAATGCCCTCGGTGCAGGAATTGGGGATGCCTGGAACAGCCCAGGAGGGGCTCCCGAGGGGAGTTATTTGGGGCAAAAAAAGCCAATTTTGGGCAAAGAAAAGCCAATTTTGAGAAAAAAAAAGCCAATTTTGGGCCAAAAAAATCCAATTTTGGGCAAAAAAAAATTTCCAATTTTGGGCAAAAAAGAATCCAATTTTGGGCAAAAAAAGCACCAATTTTGGGCAAAAAAAATTTTCCAATTTTGGGCCAAAAAAATTCCAATTTTGGGCAAAAAAAAATTCCAATTTTGGGCAAAAAAAAATTCCAATTTTGGGCCAAAAAAATCCAATTTTGGGCCAAAAAAATTCCAATTTTGGGCAAAAAAAGCGCGCCAATTTTGGGCAAAAAAAGCCAATTTTGGGCTAAACGAGCTCGTTAAGGATTCACAGGAGCTTCCCAAAAATTCTTTGGGATCGAATTTGGGGCTTTCATCTTCCTGTTCTGGAAAAACTGAGGGAAAAAGGTGGAAAAAACTGCAGGAAAATTAAAAAAAAAACCAGGAAAAAATTCCAAGAAAGCTCCAGGACCTTGGGAATTCAAGGCTGACCTGGAGGAGGAGGAGGAGGAGGAGGAGGAGGAGGAGGAGGAAGAGAATTCGGTGTCACCCTCTGGGAAAAACGTCCTGGAATGTGTGGGATGGCCTGGAGGAAGAGGAGGAGGAGGAGGAGAAAATTCGGGAGGGGAAAAAAAAGGAAAAAAAACCCAAAAAACCCCAAAAAATCCCGCAGGAATTTGGAGCCGTTCCCGTGGGTTTATCCTGGGGGAAAAAAAGGGAATTTTAGGGGGAAAAAATTCCATAAATCCACGAAAATCCAGGTTGGAATTGGGGTTTTTTTTTTGGGATAAAGGAGGGAAAACCACGCGGGTTTTGGGTGTGGGAGGTTCCAGGTGGGAACGAGCTGGGAAAAAGGGGAAAATCGGGAAAATGGATGGAAAATCGCTGGAAAATCGCTGGAAAATCGGGAAAATCGGCAGCTTGGGCAGCGTGGGGGATCCCATTCCCCGGCCACAATTCCTGCAAGGAATTAAAAAATCAAAATCCCCAAAATCCCAAATTTTTGGAGCCACCCAGTGCTGGAATTTGCACCTTTTTTTTTTTTTGTTTGTTTTTTTTTCCTTTTTTTTTGCTCGGGAAGAGGCGGGAATTGCCCGTTTTGCATTTAAATGGCCCCAAATTTGCTCCGCCTTTTTTTGGGTTTTTTTGTCCTTTTTTTTGGGATGGGTGGGGAGGGAGTTGGGAATCGCTGGGAAATTCGGGTGAGCCGGGAAAAAGGAAAAAAGGGGAAAAAAGGGGGAAAATGGGGGGAAAAAAGGGAAAAAAAGGGGGGGGGGAAAGGGAAAAAAAGGGGGGGAAAGGGGGAAGAAAAAAGGGGAAAAAAGGGGGAAGAAAAAAGAGGAAAAGGGGAAAAAAAAGGGGGAAAAAAGGGAAAAAAAAGGGGAAAAGGGAATAAAAGGGGAAAAATGGGGGAAAAAAGGGAAAAAAGGGGGGGAAAAGGGAAGAAAGGGGAAAAAAGGGAAAAAAAGGGGGGAAAGGGAAAAAAATGGGAAAAAGGGGGGGAAAAGGGGAAAAAAAGGGGAAAAAATGGGAAAAAAAGGGGAAAAAACGGGGGAAAAAAGGGGGGAAAATGGGAAAAAAAAGGGGAAAAAGGGGGGAAAAGGGGAAAAAAAAGGGAAAAAAGGGGAAAAATGGGGGGAAAATGGGGAAAAAAGGGAGAAAAAATGGGAAAAAAAGGGAAAAAATGTCTGAGGGGATTTGGGATCCCTGAATTTGGGGTCCTGGGAGATTTGGGATTCCTGAATTTGGGATCCTGGGGGATTTGGGATTCATTCCAGATTTAGGATTTATTCCAGGTTTGGGATTTGTTCCAGGTTTGGGATTTGGGATTTGCTCTGGGTTTGGGATTTTGTTCCAGGTTTGGGATTTGGGATTTTGTTCCATGTTTGGGATTTTCTCCAGGTTTGGGATTTGGGATTTGCTCTGGGTTTGGGATTTGCTCTGGGTTTGGGATTTGCTCTGGGTTTGGGATTTGTTCCAGGTTTGGGATTTCCTCTGGATTTGGAATTTGTTCCAGGTTTGGGATTTGGGATTTGCTCTGGGTTTGGGATTTGTTCCGGGTTTGGGATTTGGGATTTATTCCAGGTTTGGGATTTATTCCAGGTTTGGGATTTGCTCTGGGTTTGGGATTTGTTCTGGATTTGGGATTTGCTCCAGGTTTGGGATTTGCTCTGAGTTTGGGATTTAGGATTTTCTCAGGATTTGGGATTTGCTCCGGATTTGGGATTTGTTCCAGGTTTCGGATTTGGGATTTATTCCAGGTTTGGGATTTATTCCAGGTTTGGGATTTGTTCTGGAGTTGAGATTTGCTCTGTATCTGGGATTTATTCCAGGTTTGGGATTTGGGATTTTGCTCTGGGTTTGGGATTTGTTCCAGATTTGGGATTTGCTCTGGATTTAGGGTTTGCTCTGGGTTTGGGATCTGTTCTGGATTTGGGATTTTCTCCAGGTTTGGGATTTGCTCTGAGTTTGGGATTTGCAATTTGCTCTGGGTTTGGGATTTGTTCCGGGTTTGGGATTTGGGATTTTGTTCCAGATTTGGGATTTGCTCTGAGTTTGGGATTTAGGATTTTCTCAGGATTTGGGATTTGCTCCGGATTTGGGATTTGTTCCAGGTTTCGGATTTGGGATTTATTCCAGGTTTGGGATTTGCTCCAAGTTTGGGATTTGTTCTGGATTTGGGATTTGCTCTGGATTTGGGATTTGTTCCAGGTTTGGGATTTGGGATTTGGGATTCTGCTCCAGGTTTGGGATTTATTCCAGGTTTGGGATTTGCTCCAAGCTTGGGATTTGCTCTGGGTTTGGGATTTGCTCCAGATTTGGGATTTTCTCCTGTGTTTCTCTTGTGTTTCTCTTTTGTTGAGTTTTGGTCACTTTTGATGCCCCAAACTCTTCCCTTTTCCTCATTTTGTTCCCATTTTCCCTCAGTGACGAGGACAGGTGACATTTGTTGGGTTTTGGTCACTTTTGATGCCCCCAACTCTTCCCCTTTGCTCATTTTGTGCCCATTTTTCCTCAGTGACGAGGACAGGTGACATTTGATCACTTTTGGTCACTTTTGGTCACTTTTGATGCCCCAAACTCTTCCCCTTTGCTCATTTTGTTCCCGTTTCCCCGCAGTGACAAGGACAGGTGACATTTGTTGAGTTGTGGTGACATTTGGTGACTTTTGGTGCCCCAACCCCTTTTCCTGTGCTCATTTTCTCCCCGTTTCCCCGCAGTGACAAGGACAGGTGACATTTGTTGATTTTTGTTGAGTTTTGGTGACATTTGGTCACTTTTGATGCCCCAAACTCTTCCTCTTTCCTCATTTTGTTCCCATTTTCCCTCAGTGACGAGGACAGGTGACATTTGTTCAGTTGTGGTGACATTTGTTGACTTTCAATGCCCCCAACCCCTTTTCCTGTGCTCATTTTCCCCCCGTTTCCCCGCAGTGACGAGGACAGGTGACATTTGTTAATTTTTGGTGACATTTGTTGAGTTTTGTTGAGTTTTGTTGAGTTTTGGTGACATTTGTTGAGTTTTGTTGAGTTTTGTTGACTTTCCATGCCCCAACCCCTTTCCCTGTGCTCACTTTCCCCCCGTTTCCCTGCAGTGATGAGGACAGGTGACATTTGTTGACTTTTGGTGACATTTGTTGAGTTTTGTTGAGTTTTGTTGAGTTGTGGTGACATTTGTTGACTTTTGATGCCCCCAACCCTTTTCCTGTGCTCACTTTCCCCCCGTTTCCCCGCAGTGATGAGGACAGGTGACATTTGTTGAGTTTTGGTGACATTTGTTGAGTTGTGGTGACATTCATTGAGTTTTGTTGAGTTTTGTTGACTTTCCATGCCCCAACCCCTTTCCCTGTGCTCATTTCCCCCGTTTCCCCGCAGGCTCTGCCGGCAGTCCCCGCCGTGCCGCCGCCGCCGTCTCGTGCTGCGCGCGGCGCCGCCGCGGCCCCGGCGCGGGATGGCCGAGCGCGTGCCGCCCTTCCCCGCAGACGGAGGCAGAGCCCTCCTGATGCCCCCCGAGCCCAGCCCCGAGCCCGGATTCCTCCTCCAGGACCCCAAAACCGGCACCCGACTGGAGGAGGACGCCTTCTACGGCACCGAGGAGGAGCCGGCGGCCGCGGGGCCCCAGCCCGGGGAGGAACCCTCGGATTTCTTCTCCTCCTCCTCCTCCTCCTCCTCCTCGCTGGCCCGGCACGAGCCCGACGTGGCCATGGAAGCGCACGACGAGGCCGGTGAGCGCCACGGGGTGGGGGTTTGGGGGGTCTGGTGGGCGCACTGGCACCGGGGGGGTTGGGGGGGGTTGGCGCTGTTGGGGACGGCGTTGGTTGGGTTGGTGATGTTGGTGATAGCGTTGGTGGTGTTGGTTGTGTTGGTGATGTTGGTGATGTTGCGTGTTGGTGATGTTGGTAATAGTGTTGGTTGTGTTGGTGATGTTGGTTGCGTTGTTGGTTGTGTTGGTTGTGGTGGTGATGTTGGTTGTGTTGTTGGTGATGTTGGGTGTTGGTGACGTTGGTTGTGTTGGTGACGTTGGTTGTGTTGGTTGTGTTGGTGACGTTGGTTGTGTTGGTTGTGTTGGTGACGTTGGTTGTGTTGGTGATAGTGTTGGTTGTGTTGTTGTTGGTGATGTTGGGTGTTGGTGTTGTTGGTTGTGTTGGTGATGTTGGTTGTGTTGTTGGTGACGTTGGTTTTGGTGGTGTTGTTGGTGATGCTAGTTGTGTTGGTGATGGTGTTGGTTGTGTTGGTTGTGGTGGTGATGTTGGTTGTGTTGTTGGTGATGTTGATGATGTTGGTTGTGTTGAGATGTTGGTTGTGTTGGTTGTGGTGTTGGTGATAGTGTTGGTTGTGTTGCTGATGCTGGTTGCATTGGTGATAGTGTTGGTTGTGGTGGTTGTGGTGGTTGTGGTGGTTGTGGTGGTGATAGTGTTGGTTGTGTTGATAGTGTTGGTTGTGTTGGTGGTGTTGGTTGTGTTGATGATGGTTGTGTTGGTTGTTTTGGTGATTGTGTTGGTTGTGGTGGTGATGTTGGTTGTGTTGGTGGTGTTGGTTGTGTTGTTGGTGATGTTGGTTGTGGTGTTGATGTTGGTGATGTTGGTTGTGTTGTTGGTGACGTTGGTTGTGTTGGTTTTGGTGGTGATGTTGGTGATGTTGGTTGTGGTGTTGGTGATGTTGGTTTTGGTGGTGATGTTGGTTGTGTTGGTGGTGTTGGTTGTGGTGTTGGTGATGTTGGTGATGTTGGGTGTTGGTGACGGTTGTGTTGGTGATAGTGTTGGTTGTGTTGTTGGTGATGTTGGTTGTGTTGGTTTTGGTGGTGATGTTGGTGATGTTGGTTGTGTTGTTGGTGATGTTGGTTTTGGTGGTGTTGTTGGTGATGTTGGTTGTGGTGTTGGTGATGTTGGTGATGTTGGGTGTTGGTGACGGTTGTGTTGGTGATAGTGTTGGTTGTGTTGTTGGTGATGTTGGTGATGTTGGTTGTGTTGTTGGTGACGTTGGTTGTGGTGGTGATGTTGGTGATGCTAGTTGTGTTGGTGATAGTGTTGGTTGTGTTGTTGGTTGTGTTGGTGATGTTGGTTGTGTTGGTGATGGTGTTGGTTGTGTTGGTGATAGTGTTGGTTGTGTTGTTGGTGATGTCGGTCTCTTGGTGTTGGTTCTTCTGGTGCTGTTTGTCTTGGTGTTGATCTCTTGAAGATGGTGTTGGGTCTCGGTGTTGGCTCTCTTGGTGATGATGGTGTTGGCTCTCTCGGGTTTGGTTCTCCTGGTGATGCTGTTGGTTGTCTTGGTGATGAGGATGATGTTGGTTCTTGGAGATGATGTTGGTTGTCTTGGTGATGATGTTGGCTCTCTCTTGGTGTTGGCTGTCTGGGTGATGATGTTGGTTGTCTTCGTGATGGTGTTGGCTCTCTCTTGGTGTTGGTTTTCTCTCGGTGTTGGCTCTCTTGGTGATGATGGTGTTGGCTCTCTCGGTTTTGGTTCTCCTGGTGATGGTGTTGATTCTCTCTTGGTATTGGTTCTCTTAATGATGATGATGATGATGATGATGATGATGATGATGATGATGATGATGATGATGGTTCTCCTGGTGATGGTGTTGGTTCTCTTGGTGATGAGGATGTTGTTGGCTCTCTTGGAGATGGTGTTGGCTCTCTTGGTGATTATGGTTCTCCTGGCAATGATGTTGGTTGTGTTGGTGGTGATGTTGGTTGTTTTGGAGATGTTGTTGGTTCTCTTGGTGATGATGATGTTGGCTCTCTCTTGGTGTTGGTTCTCCTGGTGATGGTGTTGGTTCTCCTGGTGTTGGTTGTTTTGGAGATGTTGTTGGTTCTCCTGGTGATGGTGTTGGCTCTCCTGGTGTTGGCTCTCTTGGTGTTCATTCTCCTGGTGTTGGTTCTCCTGGTGATGGTGTTGGTTCTCTCTTCGCTTTGGTTCTCTTGGTGGTGGTGTTGGTTCTCTTGGAGATGGTGTTGGGTCTCTTGGTGTTGGTTCTCCTGATGTTGGCTCTCCTGGTGTTGGTTCTCCTGGTGATGTTGTTGGCTCTCTTGGTGTTGGTTCTCTTGATGATGATCATGGCTCTCCTGGCGATGATGTTGGTTGTGTTGGTGGTGATGTTGGTTGTTTTGGAGATGTTGTTGGTTCTCCTGGTGATGTTGTTGGTTCTCCTGGTGTTGGTTCTCCTGGTGATGGTGTTGGCTCTCTTGGTGTTCATTCTCCTGGTGTTGGTTGTCTTGGAGATGTTGTTGGTTCTCCTGGTGTTGGTTGTCTTGGAGATGTTGTTGGTTCTCCTGGTGTTGGTTCTCCTGGTGATGGTGTTGGTTCTCCTGGTGTTGGTTGTCTTGGAGATGTTGTTGGCTCTCTTGCTGTTGGTTCTCCTGGTGATGGTGTTGGTTCTCCTGGTGTTGGTTCTCCTGGTGATGGTGTTGGTTTTCTCTTCACCTTGGTTCTCTTGGTGGTGGTGTTGGCTCTCTTGGAGATGGTCTTGGGTCTCTTGGTGTTGGTTCTCTTGGCGATGATGATGGTTTGTCCTCTTGGTGACGTTGTTGGGGGAGTCTTGGGAGAGTTTGGGGGGTTTTGGAGGAGTTTTGAGGGTTTGGGGCTGTCTGGGGTGGTTTCTGGGGAGTTTTGGGTGTTTTGGTGGAGTTTTGGGTGTTTTGGGGGTGACCTCCTCTCTTCTCTGGGATTTTTCCCGGGATTTCTCTCTGGGATTCCTTTGCTCCATCCTCCCCCTCTCCTCCTTTTGGGGCCGATCTCGAGCAAATGAGGAGGGGGTGGCGCTGCCCTGTGGGGTCCCCTGGGTGTGTCCCTGTCCCTGTCCCCCTTATCTGGGCACCCTGGGTGTCCTCACCCCCCTTATCTCCCCTTATCTCCCCTTATCTCCCCTTATCTCCCCTTATCTCCCCGACTCCTGTGGGGTTCTGTGGTCAGCGACCGTTGGGGCCGTGCTTGGGGTTGGGGTGGGGTTGGAGCTGGGTTTGGGGTCATGGTGGGGATTTGGGGTCATGGTGGGGGTTTGGAGCTGGGTTTGGGGTGCCTGGAGCTGGGTTTGGGGTCATGGGGGGGATTGGGGTTGTGGTTTGGGGTGCCTGGAGCTGGGTTTGGGGTCATGGGGGGGATTTGGGGTCATGGTGGGGGTTTGGAGCTGGGTTTGGGGTCATGGAGGGGGATTTGGGGTCATGGGGGGGATTGGGGTTGTGGTTTGTGGTGCCTGGAGCTGGGTTTGGGGTCATGGGGGGGATTTGAGTTGAGTTTGAGGTGCTTGGGGCTGGGTTTGGAGTCAGGGTGGTCAGAGCTGTGGTCGGGGTGTTTGGAGCCATGTTTGGGGTGTTTGGAGCCGTGTTTGGGGTCCATGGGGTGTTTGGAGCCGTGTTTGGGGTGTTTGGAGCCATGTTTGGGGTCCATGGGGTGTTTGGAGCCATGTTTGGGGTCAGGGGTGTTTGGAGCCGTGTTTGGGGTCCATGGGGTGTTTGGAGCCGTGTTTGGGGTCAGTGGTGTTTGGAGCCGTGTTTGGGGTGTTTGGAGCCGTGTTTGGGGTCAGGGGTGTTTGGAGCCGTGTTTGGGGTCAGGGGTGTTTGGAGCCGTGTTTGGGGTCCATGGGGTGTTTGGAGCCGTGTTTGGGGTCCATGGGGTGTTTGGAGCCATGTTTGGGGTCCATGGGGTGTTTGGAGCCGTGTTTGGGGTCAGGGGTGTTTGGAGCCGTGTTTGGGGTCCATGGGGTGTTTGGAGCCGTGTTTGGGGTCCATGGGGTGTTTGGAGCCGTGTTTGGGGTCAGGGGTGTTTGGAGCCGTGTTTGGGGTGGTTGGAGCCGTGTTTGGGGTCCATGGGGTGTTTGGAGCCATGTTTGGGGTGGTTGGAGCCGTGTTTGGGGTCCATGGGGTGTTTGGAGCCGTGTTTGGGGTCCATGGGGTGTTTGGAGCCGTGTTTGGGGTGGTTGGAGCCGTGTTTGGGGTCCATGGGGTGTTTGGAGCCGTGTTTGGGGTGTTTGGAGCCATGTTTGGGGTGTTTGGAGCTGTGTTTGGGGTCAGGGGTGTTTGGAGCCATGTTTGGGGTCCATGGGGTGTTTGGAGCCGTGTTTGGGGTCCATGGGGTGTTTGGAGCCGTGTTTGGGGTGTTTGGAGCCATGTTTGGGGTCAGGGGTGTTTGGAGCTGTGTTTGGGGTCCATGGGGTGTTTGGAGCCGTGTTTGGGGTGTTTGGAGCCGTGTTTGGGGTCCATGGGGTGTTTGGAGCCATGTTTGGGGTGGTTGGAGCCGTGTTTGGGGTCCATGGGGTGTTTGGAGCCGTGTTTGGGGTCGAGGTTTCTCCAGTGCCTGACTTTGGTCAGGTTTTGGGATCAGCAGAGCCCTCCAGGTGCCCTCAAAATCCTGATTGAATTGGGAACCATCCCAGTGACTTTGGGGGATCTTTTTGGGGTTTATTTGGGGTGAAATGGTTTCGTTCTTGTGGGGTGGCTGCTCCCGTGGGGTTCTCCATTCCCAGAACTCAAACCTTGGCAGGATTTTGGGATTTTGGCATCAGCAGAGCCCTCCAGGTGCCTCCAAAATCCTGATTGAATTGGGAACCATCCCAGTGACCTTTGGGGTTTATTTGGGTTTTTTTGGGGGTTTATTTGGGGTGAAATGGTGTCGCTCCTGTGGGGTGGCTCCTCCCACGGGGTTCTCCATTCCCAGAACTCAAACCTTGGCAGGATTTTGGGATTTTGGGATTTTGGCATCAGCAGAGCCCTCCAGGTGCCTCCAAAGCCCT